GATTAAGACACAAGGCAGAACTTATCATTAGACACAGTATCCTGGCCGTTTTAAATGTGAAAACACTCTTATGATTTTACAAGCATATGTCTGGCACTATGGTTGGCTGAAAAAGAAACCTCTGTTAGATTCCTTCAGTAATTGGGTTATTTGATTTCTGTGAGGTTGATCTGAAAAACGGTAGTATGAAGAAGGTAAGGGCAGATCCAACTTTGGAGAGCCCTAAAGCTACTCATGTTTTGGGGAAACTCACTAGGAAGGAGAATGGAAAGTTTTGAACAGTTGAGAACCAGGTTTTTGGCTGAGTGCCGCATGCTTAGAATAAACATTTGAAGCACATATGTACTTCAATAGCCACATGTATCTATCTCCGGGGACTCTGTCATGCACTGCTTGGAAGGTGAATTAGACCCTGCTGAAAGCAAAAGGGTCTCTGCTGAAAGCCTGGCTATGTTCCAAGATGGAGGCTGCAGATCGGTGGGCTCTGGGCCAGATTTGGCTCTTAGAAGGCTTGATGTGGTAGTACCACCCTCCCCTCCACCCCCAACAGTGTTTCTTAAAAAGGAAAATTACTTACCAAAGTTTTAAAACCATAAAATTTCAAATAAAGAGCTTTTATTTTTGTCCCCCCCCCCCCAGCTTTATTTTGTGAAACTAGAATTCCTGTCCACACTGGATTTAACAAATGTTTGGAGGAGAGCTGTGTTTGTCCATTGGCCCCAGTCCCCACTTGGTTCCTTGCTGTTTTTCGTATTTTTCTGACTGTGGAGACCTATGAAATCATGATAAGGCTCTTGTCCAGGTCAGGTGCCTAGTCCTGCCCTGCCTCTGGCTGGACTAACCCCTTCGGTCTGCCTGTCTGTCTCTATTTTAAAAAAAATTTTTTTTTTAATGTCCTAACAACTTAATTTTTTCTTTTAAAATGGTATTTAGTTGTATATTATTGATATTTACACCCATATTGTTAATTATATTATTTGAGTAGGTCTTTTGCTTTCTCAGCCTGCAGTGGGCCCTCCTCAGGTTTTTCATCAAAGAACTACATAGATTTGTTGTAAATATCAGAACATTTGTGCTTGATTTCATACTCCCTGTCATCTTTTTCTCTTTTATAAAAGTGATAGATGCTACATTTGATTTTTTTTATTATTTCACTGAAGTAAAAGATTGGTAGTTTGGGCATTTCAGTGTTTGGTTGCTAACTGAAAGGTGATAGTTTGATTTCACCCATGGGTACTTTGGGAGAAAGGGCTGGCGATCTTTTGAAAAATCAGCCATTGAGAACCTCATGGAGCACTGTTCTAGTCTGACACACATGAGGTTGCAGTTGATTAGAGTCAACTTGGTGACAACTGGTTTATTGCCATCAATTGGAAGAACCATGACAGGACTAGGGTTGTGAAGTGTTTCTTTGGATTATAAACTCTGGGATTTCCATGGCAGGGTTGTCATCACCCTATTACCATGTGTAACTCTCCTAAGTGCCAGTTAGCACATCCCAAAATGTGTACTTATCCATTTATTTTGTACCTATAAACTGGCCAACCAGGGTGAGCCTCAGCTTTAGCGGTTCCTTTGCTGAAACGGAGTAACTCATGCAGCATGCACAAGTTATTTGCCTATTCCTATCTGGGGTTCGAGGCCCGTGGGTGCTTTCTGACCCTAGGAGTCCTGATGTGGTCCTGTAGGACATGACTGGACTACAAAGTTGGTTTGATCTGCAAGGTTGGTGGTTCAAATTTACCAGTCACTCCTCAGGAACCCTATAAAGGCTCACTGTGAGTTGGACCTGACTCGATGGCACTTAACAACAATATATACTGTTGCTAACTAAAGGTTGCCTTCTGCATAAACTCTTTAGAATTTTGCATGAAAAAAAAAAAAAGTAAGGATTCAAAGGAAACTATGTGGTGGAATTTATTATTGACTGTTACCTTAAATTCTTTCTTAAATAAAAGATAGTAACAATCAAACTAGCAAGCAACAGATAGATGCTGCTCGTTCTTAAGTTATGTAGTAAACAGACAGTAAATCCTAAGGAGTCTGTCTATGAGAAAAGTCAGTGGACTTTGGCCGGAAAAGTCAACAATGTTTCACATACGATGCCACTTCATTTAGATTCAAGTTCCAAAGAAGGCTTGTCTGTAGTTAAACTTATACTTTAAAATTCTGTGAGAACTGCTGTTTTTAAAGATTAAATGAATCCCCAGTAATGATCAACTTGAAATTAACACACAGCCTAGATAGTTGGAAAAAGAAAAGATTTTTGGATATATATTTTATTTGACAGTGTTTTAGAATATCATACAGTAAACAAGATTTCTGTAAAAGTTAATTTATCCATAGTGGTGCGTTTCATAAAAATAGTTGCTCACTTACAGTCTTTCTGTGACTATTAATACATGGAATTATATTTATAGAGATACAGCTGTACAGGGTAAATTCACAGCTAACACTACACAGAAATATTATCTGGAATGGGATTTAGATGATGTGCTATCTTCACAGGTTATGGATTACAGCCGCATAAAGCCATGACAGTCATGTGTTGCTTAACATCCATAATATGTTCTGTGAAGTAGGACTCTATGTGACTGGGATGTTGTGCAAATACCATATTATATACAGGCGGTCCCCAGATTACAAAGAAATTCCATTTCTGGTCTGTCTTTAAATTGAATTTGTATTTAAATTTGAATAATTAGATATGGTTGGTTCTTATCTAACTTCACTTAGTCAAATGTCTGTCTTAGTACATAGTATGTAGTGTACCTTTCTATGCGTAAAAAATTAAAGAAATACTTCCAGATACACGAAAACATCTTTAACGTAATGTTACAATAATAATAATATTTTGTGTGCTGAAAAATAGCGCCTGCTTGTTCCTGTGAACCATTGTATGTTCCGTGGGTGTTTCATATAATAGGCTTTACAGCGTTGGGAGTTGGGGCCATGGGACAGTATGGAGCAGGACAGGACACTGCCTGAAGGGATGTTACGCGGCGCATGACTGTTCTGCACAAGTAATAGCTGTGAACTGTGCAAATTAGAGTTTATGCAAGCGTAATCTCAAAAAAATGTTTTTTTTCCTTTTGTAATACATGGAAAATAAAGGTCAGAGGATACAGTACCGGGACGCGTAGCTACACTACAGAAGCATTGTCCAAACCAGATTCAATAAATTAATGGCAAACTATACTGGATTTCTAGTTCAGGGGAGAAAGACTAATTGAGATTAAACCAAAAATATTATAAACTGCTACATGTGTTGTGCTTTTGTTTATGATGAATGAGTTTCATTTTTGGAAATTGGTTTTACAAGCTGCAAGACCCTTCACTTGAAGCTTTCTAGCATATTCTCATCTTGTCAAACAACTAAACGACTCCTGCGCCTGATGGAAACTAGTACAGAATGCTGTAATTATAGAGAGAGGTAAAGAGTCAGTTGAGGATTTAGGTGTGACCTTACTTGATGGACTTGATCTCCTTTGACTTCAAGTGCAGGGAGGTGAGACTTATTTGCATTCAAGCTCCTGTGAGGGGTAGACTATGGAAGGATGTTATTGAAATTCTGAAATGAAGCCTCATTCATCCAGGGCAGATTAATGAAAAATTCCCTTCAGAAACATTGTGCCTTTTAATATGTGTAGCTACAAAGAAGTACCAATGGATAATTAATTGAGGGTAACATTTAAAAAGAAATACTAAAGTAGCAGGGAAGAAAGTTGGGCCTTACAATTTTACTTGGGGATCAACCACTGATCCATGAAGAGAAACAGAAAATATCTAGAGGTCGCTAAGAAATTAAAAAAAAAAAAAATTGGCAAAGAGTACAAGACAAAAGCCAACCACATGGAAACAGAAGGAAAAAGAATAAGGAAAGAGAGATAAGGAATGCTAATAAGACATGTTCTTTTATGAAAATAAATTGGTTATCAATTTTTAATATTAGGGAGTCATAATAATCTGAGAAATATAGGAGATATACTTTGCCTCTGCTCTGTCAAAATGAATATGAATAAGAAAACAGATTTAAAAAGACAATAAAAGAAGTGAAACATAACATTGCTGACAAAGAAGCTATTTCTCTCTAGTAGTCTTTGAAATAGGAAAGCCTTTTCATAAAGGAATTGCAACGTGGCCAATGTTGATTTAACAATTGTGGTCCTTCAATTATAAAATTGCTCCTTTTAGTTGAAAACCAATTAAGATCTATGAGCTAAATTGCAAAATTCTGACTTACAGCAAACTGTTCCCTCGGATACAGTTTAAAAAAACCTTTCTTTTCCTATCACTGAAAATGTACAGAAATATGACTTGATCACAGAAATGGCAGTAAAAATGGCATCGCACCAATGAATTCACTAGACTTCTAACTCCTGCAGTATGCAGGAACGGTACTAAATACCAGTGATGGATGCCAAGGTGAGCCATGGAAACATGTCATGGGAGAACAGTTCTGAATGTTTCAAAGAAACCCTTTAACCCCTGTCTAGATATGTCAAGAACAATTTATTTACAATGCTTTAGACCAATTAAAAGATATAATCTTGTCTCAGTTTCAGCTTGCTCCGTGCAGTTTGATTTTTAAGGCGATATTTCCAGTTTGTGATTGCTCTTAACTTGTTCAGTTTCTTGATATAAAGTTTGGATAACATCCAAATCCTTCATGCAGTGGGGGGATTTTTTTTTTTTTTTCTTTTTTCGTTTTTTACTAAAGCTACACTGCACTGTCTCTCTGATGTTCTTCACGTTATTTTGGTTCTTCCATAGCTGCCAAAGCCCCCCAAATGGAACTGGGGGCTTTAGGATCAGTTTAGGTCTGTGCGTGGATGCTGTGCAACCCATGCTCATTGGACACGTGGGACTTCAGGTCGATGCTCCAGGCCTTGGTGTCTCGTGGATCTATGCGTGTGACAGTGAAAATAAATTAAAACGCCATGAGACGGAACCTAAGATGAGCGGCCTGCGTCGAGGCTGGTCGGCGCGGGCCGCGCGGCTCATCTGCTGGCGGCCGAGGCGCCGGGTTTGAGGGCGCCAGGCAGCTTGTCGGAGCCCGGCACTTTCCAAGGCCCGGGCGCAACGGCGGCCTTGCGCGCAGTG